CGCACGATCTCCGCAGAGGGTTGCGCGCGCACCGGACAAATCGCACTCTCGCCTGCACTTTAGGCACTCGACACGCACGATCTCCGCAGAGGGTTGCGCGGGCACCGGACAAATCGCGCTCTCGCCTGCATCTCGCGCACTCGACACGCACGATCTCCGCAGAGGGTTGCACTTTCGGTTGACGCTGTTCGTCCCACCCTCCGCCTTTAAGAGAGAATTTATAAAGTGGGGAAATGTTTTTCATTAGGACATCTCCCGTGCTAGTTTTCCATGCTCACACTTGCCTACTCATTGCATGCTTGCATACTCATTGCATGCTTGCATACTCATCATTGCACTTGCATCATTGCACTTGCATACTTTGACACTTGCATACTTTGCACTTGGATGCTTTCACTCTTCCACTTACACTCGGGTACGTAACACTGGGGTACGTATAGCGTTCATGTTGTAGTGCAAGTGTGGTGGAAGTGTCAGTGTTCAAGGGATTTTCCGGAAGAACCCTTCGCAATGCTTTCGGGAAAAAACTCCGAACGCTTGGCCTGAATGAAAAATCATCAAACCTCCTAGGCCCTAGGCCGCCTAGGCCCTAAACTTCACCGAATTCTGACTTAGAGCGTATAGATGTCTGACCCTTTCAGCGGCTGAAAGCCATACTGAAATGCGGGCCTTCTTCATGTGGCTGCTCTTCACAGCCTTTCTGAACCTGCCATGAAACTTCGAAGCACGATCGACTCAGCTGTGGTATGCCTACGAACTTATGGGCCTATGTCTAGGGTCTCCTCAATCACACGTGGTTCTTTTCGCTTGAACCCAGCTGTCAGCCCAAAGGACAATCACCATGTTCGAGCAAGAACTTTGCACATGTGTATCATGTGTCCTTCCTGTTTGAGAGATCCGCACCCAAAATACTGGGCGACGTTCGCCTGACCGGTGGCCGAGCACGCACGGAGACTCCGCGAAGGATCGACGACCCCGAACGACTCCGAGTGCAACACGTGGGCGGCTGGACAGGTTCAGCAACTGGGTGAAGTTCCGATGTCCTCGTGAGGCGAGGGAAATAGAAGACCAGTAAAAAAGGAAACTGATAGAACAAGCGATGGGTACTTTATGAACACAGTGTTGATAGAAAATGAAAATGATAGAAGTGATGTTGATTGGTCTTGGTGCATTGGTCATTCTTCGAGGGGACTGTGACGAAACGGAACTCCCAAAATCGTGCTTGGTGCGATGCCACCCTGGCAGAGCGGCGCAAAGCGGCGCAGAGTGACGCCTTGGTTGATCTTTTCCAAAAGAGCCTTCCACCTGGCGACCGTTCACCCGTTGCTGCCACAAGCCGCTGCTTTCTTCGGTGGGTAAGGGAAAGTCTCGTGGGTATTGGTTACTTGGTCGGTGGGTTGGATTTGCATGTGCCCTTCAGAAGAACACGGGAGTTTTCGGAAGAACACGGGAGTTCATGGGTTTGGAATATTTGCTCGTCAAGACACTTGACAAAGAACTAGTAAGGGAGACTACTTGGTTGAGCATCCCCTCATTCATCATGGAAACAGACCTAGGTCATTCACAAAGAGACTTGGCAATAGCGGGTGGGATTGTTCTCACGAGTAGACCGCCTTCTCCTTGCTACACTCGCACACTGGAACCTGGTTTCTTCAAGACTTCTTCCCATCACTTTCGGCTCTTCTCTTTACGCTCTTCGTCCCTTTTCTTTCGGCTCCTTGCGTGTCCACCTCTATCCCTCCTTCAAACCATCCTTCCTCTTGCGACCTCGAGACAGATAGAACTTGCAAAGCCGGACGAAGGTGAGACCGAGCGCCAAAGTCAAACTCGGGTGGTCATTGAAGAAGAAGATCCTTGGAGATGCAGATATGCAGAACGAAAGAAAAAATGGGTTCGGGATGAAATCGCATACATAAAAGAATAAATTTCATATACACAAAACCAGGAATCACTTCACATGTCTTCCTCATCACTGCGAACGTCACCTGCAGAAAGACGTCGGTTGTGCCACAATGATTCGCCTCAAAAGCGGCCATCGCCTCTCCCACAGAGCGGCTAGGCCACCAGCGTGGCTCCAGAGGCAGCTCGTAGATTTGAACTAACCTGAAACAAACAGAAAGAAATTGAACATTTGAACAGAAAGAGATCCTTAGGTTCTGTGCTCTGTGCTTGGTAGTGCAGGCAAAAAAAGAGCAGGGGCGCTGTTTGGTAGTCACGAGAATCATCCGATTTCCCTACACACTTAGAGCGCAAACAAATACATACAAATTAACATACTGTAACTGCCGGGCCGCGGGGAGTCTTTCACATAACTCCGGAAGGCAATGATGGCATCCAACGCACAACGGTCTAAGCGTCGAAGCTTCATCAGCGGACCCACCGAACTGGGATAGACCTGCGAAGATGATGCCGTGATGGCCACCAGGAAAGTCGTTGTTAGACCATAACCAAAAAGGGTTCCAGAAAAAGTCTGGAGAATGGCTAAACTGAAACCGTGGCAAGTCTGGCTTCATTTAGAACTTGAGTCCGTGTGTGCAGGTTCGGTGCTCATCGCGGTCCCCATGTCATGTTGAACCAAGGTGTTGCAGGGAGCTACTAGTAGCGTCCTTGCTCCTCTTATATTGAAAGTTCGACAGGACAATGTCCATTCATTCCTGCAAGCACAAGTTCCACAAACCCACCAGATCTTCCGTCTTCCCACCTCATGCGGTCTCGCTAGACCAAAGACGGGTCCACCAGCGTAGTCCGTCATGTAATCCAGCGGCAGCGGAGGACCCAATGCCCACGGCGCCGGCATGTAGTCCAAATGCCGAAACGCCCAGTCTTCCGCCGGGCGGAAGTGAACCCGGCTGGGGTTGTGGGTGGCCGCTTGCCACAAAGAGAAGGAGCCGCCTAAGTGGGGGAGCCACTTCCGATACGAGGACGGCAAGCCCTCCGAGGCCTCGCTCAAGGCTTCCACGTAGCCTCTGGGGTCTCGTACCAAACGTCGTTGGGCCTCTGGGGTGGCGCTGGATGATTGAAATAAAACTTTCTCTTTTTCCTAGTAAGGCCAGGAGCCCCTAGTAGCGTCCTTGCTCCTAGTAGTAAGGCCAGGAGCCCCTAGTAGCGTTCTTGCTCCTAGTAGCGATGCCCTTTGCTCCTAGTA